ATTTAAGTGGGAAAGCCTCACAAGGATCCTGATTGTGATGTTGAGCTTCTTCCTTTGAGAGTGCAATTTTTTTCTGGAGGAACTGGCGAAACCAGGGAACAACCACGATTTGAGATGATGACAATACTCTGACGAAACACAGAGCACAAAACAAATTGCCATATTGCTTACTGCAGGTACCTATTTGCCCTGCAGGAGCGTGAATCGAACAGACGAAATATCTTGAGTTTGCCACTGACGTCTGTGCTACCAACCGGAGCTGCATGCCACTACATTATAGGAGCACCACCCCACTCCACCAAAGTGCATTACTTCAACAGATTGATTTTGAAGCTAGTCTTATTATTACTACTCTCACCGTACGTTTTACAATAAAGTAATATCCAGCGAATGACAGACATGAATTATTGGTCAGGGTGGAGCAGTTGATAGTGCATTAAGACTATGAACCTGTGAGTTCAATTCCTGGCCCTGGCTTAAAATCGTTGGCAAGTAATATTTGTACTGATCCTGGACCCCCCCCCCCCTCGCCGACACCGACCCACACTGAACACCATGGTGAAGTATGGTGAAGTAAGCCCTATGACTGACATGATAGGAGGCATTCATCTTGCAGTGGATGGTTGATAAAGAGCTCTGATTTATATACATTTGATGAAATACACAATGATCATTGACAAACTCTTTTTCATCTATTATACAACATAGCATAGCATCGTAAGACAATGGCACGTTTCCAGGAATAACAATGCAATAATGTAGTCAGTAATGTAGTTAAAAAATACTTCTTAATATACTGTCAAAGTCATTTGTACTGTAATAATATTATATTAAATTGGCCAAAAGTAAATTTAGTCAGTAAATACCTAAATAAATATGGTATATTAAAAAAATACAATGATCTTCAATGGTTGCCTCTGAAAACGAATTCAGAGGTGGTCAGGTGGCTCAGAAGTCCGAGCACTGAACCAGTACCACTGGGACCCCAGGGCTGCCACCTATGATCACGCCACGGTGGCGAGATGTTAACTCCCTCGCCTGGTATGCATGAGGTTGTGGGTTCGATCCCCCCCAACCCTGACGCCTGTATATTTGGAGTTTGCATGCTCTCCCCACGGTCGCGTGAAAATGTATCCAGGTCCCTCCGGGTTTTCCCTCCAAATTTACGTGATAATCCACTTCGTTGAGCTATCATTTGTGGCCAGATCGCTTCTGAAAAAGAACTACATAGCTCAGTGGGCCTTACCTGGTAAAATATATGGACATTTTAACGGACTCTCCAACATAACGAGTTGATGTTCGAAGCCAGTGGATGCCCCCAGAAAGCATCACATTACATTTGGTTATGTGTTTAATGTGGATAAATTCTAACTCTGAGAAATAAACATATCAGTGACAGACACACAAGTGTATGGGAAAGTGTGATTAAGAATGAAATGCCCCTTGATGGATAATTCTGAACAAGTTCTGTGAAAAACGTCTCTTCCACAATCTCTGACCTCTATTATGGATACTATTGGTGGTGAAAGCATACGTGTTAAACGGGGCTGCACTGCTGTGCAAGATTTCCAACATGGATTCTTCATTTCGTGAATGCAGATGGCACAAGTAGATTAACAAAATGGAGAAAAAAGTTAAAAATAACAAGACATCCGTAAAAGGTGCTTTCCAAAATGGTTTGTCAAATCTGATGATTTGCATAAGGTGGTAGCAGTGTTTGAACAGCGATTAGAATCCTTCAAGGATGTTTATTTAGGTAAATCCAATCTTTGGGGGATTTTAAGATAATAGTTTGGGGAAACGGATTGTTGTGTTAAATGCCATATATTTTTGACTGTTTCAAACAGGATATTAAAAAACATTTGCATACATTTCCATTTATGACGTCTAGCAATGTACTATACCTTTGGCAAATGGCTACTATATTGTGATTGGATGTCACAACACCATTATTAAAAAGCTGCTATAAAAGTTTCAAGAACTGTATTGACTGTTTGAAGTGATGACCATTGCAATCATCTATACTTGTCAAACAACAAAATATCTAATTTTAACAATGGAAATCATTTGGCAAATGGCAATATGTACTGCAATGTTACTTAATTTATTATGCAATATTCATTCGGGTGTTATTTGGTTGTTTGCATTCAGTGACATTAAAATACCAACTAAAAATTAACGATATTATTCTTGAAGGCCTCTAAACATGGAAATAAATGCTTTGTCAAATAATATATATTTTAAACTTAAAAAAAAACTCGCTTTAATGAAATGTACCCTACTAGTAATGGAAGAACTCCACGACTCCAGGAAGTGGCCCCGAAGCTTGCCATAACGTATGGGACCGTGGTAATTTACAGCCAACGTCAGTTGAGCGTGGACAATTAGACCCAAGCCGAAACATAACATAAAGAAGATTATTTTAAAATATTAATTTGTTATGATAGAATATAGTATTGTCATCAGTATGACATATGTACGGTATACCAAGTTTGCAGTCGATACCACATTGGGAAGTGGGTTAAAATTGAGGTTACGACAACAACAACAACAGTGAGTTAATAGAAAACGTGTAATAATAATACAAAGGTTGTGAAATTCCTCTGTAAGCGGCAGTGTTAATTTAGATCGCTATTTTATTTTAAGGACTAAATAAAAAAATTCCCAGACTTAAGACTTGACTAAAATTCTACAGGTTGTTTTCAATAGACTACGACTAAAATATTTAGTAATTAGAATACATACATAGCATTCTGAGACACAAATGTTGACTCCCAATTGAGATTATAGACACTGAGCATGATGTATATATTGGCAAAAAATGTTCTTCTTCCCCTGTAGATTAAAACAAATATTATCCAGTCTTTAAGAGGGCATATTCTTTTCTATGGTTTTGAAAACTTTTCTTGACAATGTTATGGTTATACTGTACTGGTAGGAACCTCCTGGTTACACCAGCCCACAGGGGATTATTGTGTCCGTCGTGCAGGGAGGGGCTGGGTGGGGAGGGAGGGTGGGGAGGGGCTGGGTGGGGCTGGGTGGTGGGGGGTGGAGTGGAGCTGGTCACCCCGTGGTGCCCTTACAAAACTAAACGTTTAACCTACTCACGCCGGCTTGTGCCCGCCCTCACAGTCGGGCATATTTGCGGAATACACCACGCCGCCGTTGACCCTGGCCATTGACTGAGCAACACAACGTTCCTACCAGCTCCCTCCGCAGGAATGTGTTTAAATACCTTCTACACTGCAGTAGCATGTCATGCTCTAAGCAGACTTGGTATTATTATTGTAGAACCATGCCCCTTTTGGCGTGGATGGGTTAAGCTTTTTCAGAGGGCAGGTTATCACTTAAACCATGAGCCAGTTATTTGGACTCATAACCAACGTTATGTCATCACGTGTGTCTAACAAATACCAACAACCATTGCCGTTTTGTGTTTACACCTTCATGACTTGCAGTCACTTGCAAGTCTACAAGTTACTTTATAGAATACCATAACATTTGCTTATCTATGAAAACCAATATTTAGTAAACACGTAAAATGTTCATATTTGTAATGCATGTCATACATGATATGCAGAGTAATGTTGGAGATGATTTGATGTATATTATTTGCTGTCAACCGTTTTATATCGCAAAATAATTTATGCTAAGCCACCCGAACTGCAAATCTGACCCTCCCCAAAGGGTATAAATGCAAATCAATTTAGTTCGACAAAGGAGTATTTCATCATTGTATTTGCTGTCCTAGATAAGTGTGATTTGTAAATCCGCCCTACAAACATATAATGGATAAGCTATTTGTTCACGAGCTGGCCACAGCTGACCTCTACTCCAGAAGTAGTAATGACCTGGTTTCGAATGTTTGTTGACACAATAATTACCAGAAACAAAAAAAACAACCCTGTACATTGCCAACACAAGTTCAGTGAACTTGGATAATGATTGAACTCTCCATGCTCAAACGGACGTGCAGAGGTGATCAACTATAATGGCAGCCCTGAAACTTATTTTACTATGGCATGAGCCAATATCTTCAGAGGCTAAGAAGGCCCGTTGACACTCACGAACGTTTGTCCATCAAGTGTTCACCATTTGGCCACACTTAAGACCACCTAACTGGATAAAATGATCGAACTAGGAATATAAATTAAGTTTAAAACTAAACTACTTGTATTTTTCTTCTTGGTTCTTTCGGTAAAGTCACGTAGAATGGAAATAATAAAATAAATAAAAAATAATTCTCACGACGTTTCGGCCTCAACGCAAGCAGCCGTCCTCAGGTGAAGGCTCACTGAACTATGTAGCTCCTTTTCAGAAGCGACCTGGCCACAAATTATAACTCAACGAAGTGGCTTATCATGTGGACATTTATAGCAGTCAAATACTCTAAACGCATGTTGATTATAAATGTCGAGGGAAAACCCAGGGGACCCGGAGAAAAATCCACGCGACCATGGGGAGAGACACCACAAACTCCAAATATACACACGTTAGGGTCGAGATAGAACCCACGGCCTCCTGCATACTAGGCGAGGTAGTTAACATCTTGCCACCGTGGCGCCTCATGGTGGAATTCAAGTGTCAATACACATTTCTGTAAATTTCGATTTAAAGCTTTGACTGCAGGGATTCATCTTCATGATTCTTTCGGTAAAGTCACGTAGAAGGGAAATAATAACGCTGTCTTTCCGACAGACCTGTTCTTCACCTGAGGACAGCTGCTTGCGTTGTGGCCAAAACGTAGTGAAAATTGTATTTTATGTTTTGTTTTTATTATTTCCCTTCTACGTGACTTTACCGAAAGAACCAAGAAGATTTCTGTAAATGTTGCAAAACACATACATGCATAAAACAGTTCCAGTAGCATTGCTCTTAACTGTCCTGTTATAATCTGATACTCTTGTAGATGCCACCATCTCTCCTACATAATAGATAAGTTGGTTGTCACTTTCAACATGTTCTCATCGTTAATTTAATAAAATTAGAACTCAACAATGTTTGTCAACAATTAAAAACCTTTAATTCACGTTTACATTTGTAAAACACCAACAGCAGCATATTAACAGGGTAACAGCAAACAGTAATTCCGAATATAAAGCAGATTCAATCTATCCTGGTGCCCATGAATTGAGTAACCAACATGCGGTATTTAACAAACATGTATGCATTGCTAGGGAGCCAGACCAATAAGGCAAGATCAAGTTTTGGCAGTCAGTCGATTAATCCATTAGTTTTACAAGATAGTAAAAGGCAGTTTTTTTTAGGATTTAGTCTATGGCAATGGTTCACAATGATATACCCTTTAAAATTAAGCCTCGGGTATGTTTAGGTAATGCTCAAAATAATGCAATGCAGATGTATATTCATGAACTCCAATAACAAACATTCCTTTCCCCTATTTACCAGAGGTGTGGACTCGAGTCATGTGACTTGGACTCGAGTCAGACTCTAGTCATGAATTTGATGACTTCAGACTCGACTTGGACTTGCATAACAATGACTTTGTCCCACCTCTGAGGTGTGGACTCGAGTCATGTGACTTGGACTCGAGTCAGACTCGAGTCATGAATTTGATGACTTCAGACTCGACTTGGACTTGCATAACAATGACTTTGTCCCACCTCTGAGGTGTGGACTCGAGTCATGTGACTTGGACTCGAGTCAGACTCGAGTCATGAATTTGATGACTTCAGACTCGACTTGGACTTACATAACAATGACTTTGTCCCACCTCTGCTATTTACTGATGCAACTCTGATATAACAAATTACGGCATTTAATGACAATTTCACGTTTGTCTACATGTTTAATGAAGTGCAAAAACCACGCGTAAATGTGGGACAATGATTTCGTCCATCGATAGGGCATATGCCACATACTGCAGAGGTTCGTAGTTCGATTCCTTTAGGCCGCTCTGGTTATTAACGAGTGGATTAACCGTCAAAATATACGCCATTAACTTCAGAGTGGATGTCATTGTGTGCTTGCGTCATGGTCCAAATTTGCCAAACTCTAAAAGTTACCCGCACAATACCCAATGGGAATGACACATAGCAAATCACTGTCCCTTACTGGCAGACATGCCTGCTTGCAGCCCAGGTGCTGTGTCAAACTGTACCATTTTAAATGTTTGAGGTGTGATGTAAGTCGCATATCGCACGTAGAGCACTCTGAGATGCCCTGGTGTAAAGTGGGTGATTTTGAAAAAAAATCATAACACGGCTCTTCACAAATAAAATTGAAAAACTAATATTGAATTCTGTGCTAAATGTTATGAAATAAATTGAGCATGAAACTTTAGTTTTATAGTAAAAAATATAGTCTCAACAATATAGACAAAAACATCTAATATGTAATTCCTTGCGTATAGTCATGTCGATTCAACTATCCATAAATTCCAGTAAGGGACATAACTACCATACAGACTTTTTAACATGCCTGCTTTTAAATTATCATTTCTGCATCGGTACATCACCCCGGGTAGTTTTTATTCATTTCGGTGCTATTTTCTTGCGGTTATATCTTGATTAACTTTCAAGAATTAGTTTAATCACATTCGCTTCACTGCATAGCTGGTAGCAGCACACATGAAGTCACGCAGGTATCCTTTGTATTGCTTCATGTCACTGGCATGAGTGAAGTCTGCAATGACATTGAAATAATGTATTTCATGGCACTGACATTTCATTAAAACAAATTGATTTGAATTGACATTTTTATGTATATATGTTGAACTTCTTTTCACGCACCGTACATAGCCAACCATGCAAATCGGAGGTGCGGGAGAAAGACAACAGACTAAACTGTTCAAGAAATCAGTCTCAACTGTTCAATAGGTGTGTATCAACACATAGGTCTCGAGTTGTTCGGCGTGATGCTTGACATTTCGCTCCACGTGCTGGGATCAGTTCACGAATTTTATGCACTGTGTTAAATCGGACCTGGATCTTGTGTTTGTTCAAGATTTGATTATCCCTGCTATGTAAGGTAAGGTGATGGTTTTGATTGGATCTTCAGATGGCTCCTTCCTCACGGTTGGGGTGATGGCTTTGCGGATTGTGAAGTACAGAATATCCATTCGCATTGAGAGCCTGGTGTACGTGTTTGAGTTCACTGGTCAGGTGTTCATGGTCGGAGATACATTGAGCTCTATGTTGTAGCGTTTTGACGAGGGGATTCTTCTGGGATGGATGGTGGTGGGAATCAGGTTTTAGGTAGGCGTCAATATGGGTTACTTTCCTGTAGACAGAGTGGCTAATTGAGCCATCTGGTCTCTTTTTGATTAAGGCATCCAAGAAGGGTAGCACGCCATCCTTTTCTACCTCCATGGTGAATTTGATTGCTGGGTGTATGGAATTGACGTGGTTGAGGAATTGTTCCAGAGCCAGTCGGCCATGTGGCCAGATGATGAACGTGTCATCCATGTACCTCTTCCACCAGGACGGGCGTAGAGTGGATGTCTGGATGGCGTCCGTCTCAAATTTTTCTGTGAAAATGTTGGCCACAACCGGAGATAAGGGAGAACCCATTGGGGTGCCTTTAGTTTGTTTGTTGAATGTTCCATTCCAAGTGAAGTATGTATTGGTGAGGCAGTGTCTCACCAGGGCCGGTACATCAGCATTCAGTCCTTGGAGCAAATCTTCAATTATTGAAATGGTATTGGGCACAGGAACTTTGGTGAACAGAGAAACTATATCGAAACTAATGAGCAATCACCTGGGGACAGTGATATGTCTTTAATTGACGATACCAGGTGAGCTGAGTTAAGAATAGAAGAGGTGGTCTTACCAGTGAATGGCTGCAAGGTCTTAGACAGATATCAGGCCAGTTTGTAGGTGGGTGAGCCAATGGTGGAGACGATGGGACGAAGGGGTGTACCTTCTTTATGGATTTTTGGTAAGCCATACAATCTGGGTGGTCTAGCAGCACAGGGTTTTAAGGAAAACCGTTTGGTCTGTTCAAGTAATGAAGCTGATTCAGTGATAATACTATTAGTTTTTGTAACGAGGCAGTTGGTGGGATCTCTTTTCATTTATGTGTAGCTGGCATCATTAAGTAGGTCCTGAATTATGTTATTGTACACATTTTTGTCCATGATTACCGTGGCATTGCCCTTGTCGGCTGAGAGGATGACAATATCTTCCCTCTTTTTTAATTGAAATAACTCAAAGCGCTCCTCCTTACTGATGTTGCTGACTCGTATCTTAGCGCTTTTGAGGGTTGCAGCAATTTGAGGTCTTGTCACGTCTGCAGCGATGTGTCCCAAACGCTTAAGGGCTATATCGACCTGGGCAATGATGTCATCCACTGGTATGTGTTTTGGGGGGGACTGCAAAGTTTAACCCTTTAGCTAAAACCGACTTTAGACCATCGGAAATAGGGCTATTACTCAGATTAATAACAACCTTGTCAACCTCTAACTTTTTAATGTGTGGATCTGGTTTCTTCTTGGAAAGGAGGTTGAACTTGGAAATCAGGTTATCTTTACATTTAGCTGAAATTGTAGCGGCTGATGAAGTAATCATGTTATCTACATGTTCCCAATCAGATGTAGACATTTTTTTCCGTCAATGTTAAGTGCAATTTCAAGAGTGTCTTGTCTACATGAGCTAGTTCAGTACGGAGCAGTCCAATTCTCTCTGATATCAGGGCAAAGCTAGCCCTAAACAAGATTCGTTTGGCATTGGAAGATGTGACAGCAGCAGAGGTCAGTGTAAATGAGGTCGGTATTACACCTTAGAGTCGCGGCATATCTTCAGAAATGTGAGTGACTCGATCAGATGAGCTTTCTTGTCTCGGAGTTTGTTAAAAGATCCTATGGTTATGTGGAAACTCTCCCCGTAGAGGCGGTCAAATTTTAATACTTAATACTTCTGGGTCCTTGAGTTTTTTACATCAAATTTGATGCATACGTGCTTATTATGTAGGAAGATTTTTAGCAATTTCATGGTGATGGCTATGAACACCATGTCATGGTCGCTTCGAATGTCGGCACCAGGATAAGTACATGTTTGAGCCTTTATACTTGATTTAAAGCACTGAGCAGCTTATATGAAATCAATCTGTTTGTGAACGTTTCTATTAGGGGCATGCCAATTGGTTCATCTCGAGGTTTTAATCTGTTGGCTAATTTCAGCCCAAGGGCTCCTTGAAAAGTCTAGAAGACAAGCTTCCTCTGTCATTGATGGTCCCGACTTGACATTTCCCCACAACTCCACCACACTGTTCATTCGAGTTTAGGCCAATCGTGGCATTACAGTTACCTTGTATAAAAAGGCATCTTTTGGGTGTTTTTTAGTGTTTTCCTGATATTCATTTACTTGAATGACTTCATCCTCAATGTTTAACGTTGGTGTGTAGACTTGTATTTTCTGTGGGATATCTCCAAAAAGGGCCACTAGTCATCAGTTCCCACCAAAAACAATTATATTAGCACTTACGGACAAATGCACCCTGTATCCATATATTTAGGAATATTTCAAATTGTTGTATTACGGGACATTTTGCACACAATAGTATGAGATATTAATGTATGAAATATGCTTCAAACTCATCAGCCTCCAATTAATACGTATTTGTATATAACAGGTAGTTAAGTTTCAATAAGTCATTGGGGATTAAAACAAATTTCTCAACGTATATATTACAAATTAAGTGACTGAGTTGTCAGTGTCCAAGCACAAAGAACCCACCATCATTACCACTGTCACACAACAAGTAAACATTATCGGTTGTGACACTTCTTCAGAGCCATACAGATATGCCATTTTCTTAATCTATAGCCAATTATATATATTTGTTATAAGGAATTGATCAGGTTGCTAACTAATATTTTAAACATTAACCTTCTTCAATAGTCCTTTAATCCATGACGAAGAGCCAGTCACTGCAGTGTTACCCTACTCTCCATCTTTCTGCCAGAAGTCAGTGGTAATGAAGGAAATTAGTATGTTCGGGATCAGCAAAGTAAAGCTCTACAGAACAGAATATAGACATGTTCATACTTACTACCAATGAGGTTGTTAAGTTGGTAATTATGCTGCTTTAGTTGACAGCAGTTTCCCTTAGAGTTCATGTGCTGCGCTGAATTATTGCTGTGTGATAAAAAAAAGATATATACGACTTGTTATAACAATGTATAGCGTATGGGTTTTAAAATACATTCTAGAAGTATACAGTCGGTCATATATAGATGATCTCTGTTGCTTGGCATTCATACAATGGGCTGAACCATGAACATATATAACGTGTGCTTTATGCCAGTGTTAATTTATGTTGGTGATCACGATGCACAGTGGGGGTGATAAGTTAAAGGTGCACCCTTGCAATTGCTTGCTCACACCACTGCTGGCAGAAGGGCAGCCAATTGAGGGAGCTCGGGAGCCCTTCTAGAAGGTGTTAGGCCGACTATTCACTGCTGGACAGACGTCTTGGAAGAGGTGGGATTAACCACACTTTACCCCACCATATGCGAACTGTCGATCGACTGCGGTGTACCAATTTATACTGCTGGGTGGACAGAGGTGAACAAGTAATTTCTGGGTTTCAATTAACAGGGCGCTAACTATTTCGCCACAGCAGCATCCCATTGCACGATGTCAACCATAAATATAGTGTTGTACAATTAACCTATTTTTGCACATTCTCCAGTTACAGAAAACAATGACAAGCATTTAAAAATGCACGTGTAAAATGTAAATTACATGGATCACATTACAAGTTCACATTGAACTATAACCAAGCTGCTTTTGTGACACAGTCGAGATTGTTTGCAGATCGTGACTATCCCGTACCTCTGATTAGCACGGCTGGCTACCTATGGTCCAAAAGTCTGACATACATACATTAAGACACATTCGTTTTCTAAATGTAACTGAAAACTATGACGATGGAAGTCTGCTTACTCAATGGGGATGACAAAATAGCTTCAGTTCAAAACTACAATGGTTACGTTACACAGTAATATATAAATATACACATTTATACAACCATGTATAATACTAACATTTCTCTTGTATCCTCTGTCACATCAACTCCTGAATCATTCAGAAGATATTTTTTAGTTGTGAATCCATTTTTTTCTCGTTTTCTTTTTATTGAAATTTCCTTTGTAAAAAAAAAGATACAGAGGTTGAATAGCTTCATGCAAGACACTGACAATATATACTACCATTATGTAGGCTTCATGTTTTCACATGGGTGTAGGGTATGTTGAATTAGTGAAGTGGAAATGTCGATTTCAGAATTCAGCTCATTTTAAGTTCCCTTAAGGAAACCTATTTTGTATAACACTCTTATATTTTTGAGTGGCTCCCAGCTGTTGTCTCCATGACGCATTCTGCAATGTAGTGTAATTCAACGTTTAATCCACTTCCTGATTTACGCAAGAGGAAGCTACTTTGACTAAACAACATTGAACTTTGCACACGCAGCTGAGGAGTCCAATTTGTTGTGACTTAGTGGCAGATCTTAAGGGCCACATTGAAAAAGTTTGTCATTTCTGGACCGACCCACCCACTTCGTGAAGTTTCTAGAACCACCTCTATTCTGACTGCACAATTATGGTCACAAAATGACTGTGGAAGTTATAATACAGTAGCTATTTAAATAGCTAACTACAACTGTTTATATACCGTACCACATTATATAATGGTAAATAATGATTACCAATGTCATTGTTAACAATGTGTTACTGCCATTAATTCCGTATTATTTTATTAAATGTTATAATAATTTGTGTCACATGTTAATCCTTTAAAATCAGTATATACATTTTGCTACAATATTCTTTCTCCAATGAGCATTCAAAAGGTGTCCATCTCCTGTTTGAAGCTCTTTGAGCCAGTGGTGGGAATTCCACATGCCAATGGTGGAGCGAGTCTCTCCATAGGATCACTGTCGACTAAACAAGGTGATATTCATTTTGTCGACCCCCTGAGAGTAATGATGAACTGAATCAACCTCTGTATGAGATACAGTGGCCCTATAGTGATGTGCTAGTGCGACCTCTCATGTCTAGGGCCCTTCACAACAACCTCGCTCATCCATCTCCCCAGGCAGAATTGCGAGTCACACAAAGTGGAATGTGAAAAACACATGAGCGAAATGTCACGAAAAGTCAGGGGTGAGATCATTAAACCCCATTCACTTTGCTCAGTGTGGAAACATGCAATTATTATATTAAATATGTTTACCGAGATCATTTATAATACTATATTTATGACAGGCACTTAAATGGAATAAGAGTTGTATTATGTATAACAAGTTAATCCTACAAAGTTGTTTCATAATTTTCTCCAGTAAATATCCTCTTAGCTGCAGCCCTATTATCATCTCTCCTTATTATCCGGAGCCCCTAAACCAATTGGTAGAAATTGTAATGACACGTGTGTTTTTCATGACGATATTTTTGTAATTTTTTATAGGGCATGGTTCATGCCAATTGTATCTCAAAACGCTGTAGAATATTTACGCGGCGGCAAGGAAAGGCAACTAGATCCGGTGCCAACAATTGTCGAAACTCTGTGGTCCCATCTATAATGTAATTGTTTGGCCCACAATAATAGCAGTCATGCTTCGAACTGATCTTATCAACCACGTTTATTCATGGTTTTTAAATGTACAAATGGTCACCACAGGTGCTACATTCAGCCTATTTATACATCCTCATATGGTTATTCATGATTATATTTTTCAGATTAAAGGAATAATATTTTTGGACAGGCACAAATAGGATACAACTTAATTTTAAGGACATGGACGTTTTCTGCAACCTCACCTTCTTAGTATGTGGCGGTGAATTCACTTCCCATATAAATGCTCCAACCTTCTTTCTTATTTCTAAAAAAATAATACGTCAAGTATAAGGCAAAATGTGTAAACGTTTTATTTAACTATTCGATTCCAAAGACATTACAAACATTTGCATTTAAGTTTATTGAGGCACTGTCCTTCATGTACATGAAAAACGAGCCTCAGCCTACCTCTGCTTCATTGTAATGGCGACTAAGATGAAACTGTACTGTTGATATTTTTACAAATAAGCAATGAACTGTAAATAGTGAACCACCTTGTCAGGTTATTCACCGATAATTAAATGGTTAGGTGTTAATTAGGGGTAAGAGTAATTTTGACAAAAACACATAATAAATATATTAATTGCAGTATCTTGATTTGAAGCTATTTTATACCTACGTGACTTTACCAAAAGAACCAAAGAGTAATTGCAGTATATCCATACAATCCACATGACCGGTAAGGATCTCCCACCAATTAATCCGGCTTCCGTATGATGCAAAAAAGCGATATGCCTGTGACGAAATCAACTGAAATGCATCTGCTGTCATCACATATTGGAAGCTAAGGAGGGTCGAGGGTGGATAGTTCTGGGATAAGCAACCACCATGCACAGCAGAGGCCAGTGCAGAAAAATACATGTAAACTCTTATCTATAAAAATGTTAAGATCGTGGTGTTTGTTTCTGGTAACTTGCAATTTTTTTCAGTAAATGTGTAAAATAAATCTATTGGAATCTACAGATGGAATGTGCCTTAAAAATGTACATTATTATTACTGTGATTCTATGCTCAGATGTCTACTCCCTGTCTTCACCAAAACGCACTGACAAACATTCAAATATGGTCAAATAAATTTGATTTAAAGCTTTCATGACTGCAGGGATTCATATTATTGGTTCTTTCGGTAAAGTCACGTAAAAGGGAAATAATAAATAAAAAAAACATAATGAAATAATAAATAAGTAAATCTGCAAAACTATTTGCATTTAATTTATTATGTTTAATTTTTATTATTTTATTATTTCCCTTCTACGTGACTTTACCGAAAGAACCAAGACTATGGTCAAATATCTCCCTTGACCTGCATGGCGTGTAGAGGCAAACATCCAGCAGTGGGTTAGTAAAAGGGCTGTGTATGTGTAGCAATATAATTAAATATTCACATACCATATTCATGATGTCACTACCTTACAGCCATGCAAAATATGTGGGTTAGAAATATTTTTCAACTTTATGAATGTAAGGGAAATTTTCATCTGATAACAATCCATAAATAGTCAAATCTGAATGCCATGTTAATTAAATAACGTTGAACATGAAAGGTCAAACTAAGAGTTTGAAGTGGTAAACACACAATAAAATCAAGGGTTTTTAAAATGTGCACTGTAGTTCTCATACACGCTATAAACATCTAAAATATAAACCGAACCATGAAATCTGATTTAGACAAGAACATGAACGTCTATTTGCCTCTTAATTTGCTTCCATCGTGAAGTTTAGCAATGAAGGAAACTTTACATAAAATATGTGAGACACACCGTCATGCAGCTTTGCTGGAGGCAGGACATAATGACCAATTGATATATTCTTGAATGTTTTTGAATCCAAGCATGCAGCAACATAGCTTGAATGAAATACTGTAACATCATGCACTAAATACATCCAGGAGTTGTAGATTCTAGAAAAGAGAGAAAAATATTGCCTTTATACGGTTCATGTATAAATATTTGTTCAAGGAAATTAACTGAACAATACAACTTCGGTTAAATGTGTGAATGCATTATCTCTGTCCCGCTGTCTATAAAATGGGGGTCACAATAACTCTTGTGAAGATCATCCTTCTGGAAGATTTTGGAATAAAATTGTGTTGATATTAGAAACTTACTCGAAAAGAAAACCAGCCACATTGATTCAAGGGGTTCCCAAAACTTGGCAATAAAAGAACAATGCTAAATGGATAATACCTTTGGACAAATTGATGACATCATACGCAATGCGCACACCTCGACTCCCCATGAAATGATTACACAAGGTGTCATATCGTAATGTCATGTCACGAGCCGTGTGATGTCATATTGTTGTGCGGCTTGGGAGTAGCGTTATTAATGCTCAATATATACTTCCGATTATATTCACCTGTTAGAAAGCATGACAGATTATAAAGCGTGACATAATCTACGCATATTAATGATTTTTGCTCCTTGTTAGAGCGTTTTCTTCTTGATTATAGGATAAAATGGGCTCCCAAATATATCCACGCTTTTAGCTAAATGACATGTGATGATAAAATATCGTAGACAAACACAATGGCAAAAGAATACGCATTAAGTAAGTGATACACATAATGGTAGCAACTGCAGTAATGTTGTAAATTACACAAATGTAAACAAATTAGCGTTTTTGATAAAGTGGAAAGAAAATAGGAAATGCAGTTGTGAGTTTTGCCTTAAAGTTTTGGGAAATCACCTTGCAAACATCTTTTTTAGGGTTTCATTTTTTGGCTACCACCAAAATATGAATCCTCATGATTTCAGAATGACAAGTGACAATATAACAAGCATGATTCCAAATGTATATACATGAAACAGAGCCTGGACATCGTAATTTATAGTGACTGCAATGTTTAACACAACAGTAGCCTTGTTAAAGTGGGAGCACCCCATCAGGAATAAGTACATTTAAAAGTAGTTTTTATATCATCCGTAATTCATCACTTATTTGCAATTGTCCACGATATAATGGGATGAATCCACAGTAACTATGGATAAATATTGTGGATAATTATGCAAGACCACGGGTAACAATAGTATGACTGCACTAATCACGTTCTGACATGACTGTGCTGTCACCCTCACAACTGAGTGGAATTGGCTAAACATGTCTTGATACTTTCCTGAATAATTAAATCTGGTTATAGTTTTCAATTACAAATAATTACGAAAACATGAGTTTTGCATGCTAATTTTATGTGCCAGTTCATCATGTAAAAACTATAGTGAGGATATTTTGTTAGGCCATTGCCAAAAACACTGACATCCCTACTAAGAGAGGATAAATATAGCTATACATTGAGTAGATTAAAAAGTTGTTTCGCTGTATGTATTTTTGGGTTATTCCGCATGTTTTTCAGCATGGTGTCTGACTTTTCGCTCGATGTTTTTGGAGCTGCTTGAGGAACTGAGTGTCTTGAAGAGGATACCAGCAGGTACAACCCAAAACCACAATGGGGAATGATTTCAATCAGTACATCACTGACACCTAGTGGTGATGATCAATATTTTATAGCCCAAATGTCTCTTTTCATCGAACAAATGGCAAATCACAAAGGCAATATGTTTCGGCAGTGTTGAAAATGTGAATCAAGTTCTAGATATTAACCCCTTCTTTGTATAATTTATCCACACTTCTTGAAATCCCATACCATTCCAAACTAAATATTTTCTGAGGCGCATGTCAATAGATTTAAAACGCACATCATGCTAATCTCTCACATTAACATAACCACTTCCGTACCCAGTTACATGCTAATTTCTCACATTAACATCACTAGACCCAGCCACTTCTTTATGACCCTTGGGCTACACCCATTTCAAACCTTTTAAAACAGTCTGCATCAGCAGCAGGCCATGCTTACCCACCTGATGACGGACGCTTGTGCTGCGCCCGAAACGTCGTGATCTATTTTATTTTATACCTATGTGACTTTACCGAAAGAACCAAAGAGTAAAGACACAAATATGTATCCATGCTCTCTAAAGCAGTTTGTAGGGGTTCATCATGATTGACAATCCTAAGTCAGGGGATACAATTCCACATTCCAATGGTAAGGCATAGTATTGCCACTATACACCACCTTCCACTTTGCACCAAGCAATGCTCACTGTGTGATGTTTACCAACAAAGGAGGGATGATGATGTTGTTAAAGTCACAACCATGCTGCCATGAGTCCAGTGCTCTACTGGGTGACCTATCTCAGCTGTAATTATTAATAAACTATTGTATTGCATTTAACAGATGATCACATCACCTGGAATGCACCTAATCTCTTCAGAACTCAGAAGCTAAGCAGAAGGAGCCTGGCTAGTTCTTGGATGGGTGACCACTGGCAACAAAAAAACAGGTGGGTGTTGTAGGCTGTTGCAGGACTACATTGTCAGCAGTGGGCAGTGCAAACATTCCATTGTTTTACTGCACTATGCTCCTAAATTTGAGTCCTACCTTAAACCAATTCGCACCAACCAGCATTGTCAAAAAACCTCATGACCGGCAAAGCATGGGGAAGCCCTCATCCAAAAGTGAATTGACAAGAGTTGTACATGTACGCTATATTATACGTAAATGGAATAATGATGTCATGCACACGGTGTATTTTGTAAGACTGACGATGCGTATCAAATTCCACCAATGGCTCAGGAACACCAATTTATGAGCATCGCCCATCAATTGTTTAAGCATGGAGATCGATTCACTGTTGACTTGTTGATACATGCAGGAAACAATGTCATTACGTTTGAGTGTCAGTGCTGGTGGCATCATCGCTGAACAGGAAGTCTGCAGACAGCATGGAGCACAATTGGCCTCCCTTGGCAACTTGAGGGACCCACATGAAACACAAAACGGCCGGTTATTAGATGTATTATTACGCGTAATACATGACAGGTTATTAGACTACTGTATTAAACAACAGGTCATCATCCACTTTATTCACTTAAATCATGTGCAACACAATTGCCAATTAATTAAGCATTTTGCATAGAAAACATTCAAAAGTTCTGATCACATAAAAAAGCAAGCTCACTTAACAGATGAAACATCTTTTTCCGAGTATTATAATATGAATATTGAATGTAAAATGAAAGCACAGCTGTATGCAATAATTAGACATGTGTTTGACATGAGTTCGCTTGCTGGCCATGACTAATATCAGATGCGTGTGATATCTGAACTGTTCCTGGGTCCTCCCCACCTCACCTACCTGCACGAGCCAGCATAGTGAGAGCATGGTGAAACAACCCTCGTGGGAAGACGTTCATCAAGCAGTGGATTAACAAAAAGTTGTATGCAATCATTACCCTGTAGGTGTATGCAATCAGAAATGCAGTGCACAATTACGCATGGGAATGATTTGCATTTACAGTATACAAATTGAGTTAGTGTTATTGCCTTTTTCTTGGATTGCCATTTTTTATATTTTATTTGCACTTATTTGTGCAATTATCCTTTTTAAAAATTCACTCAGGTCTCTCTTGCAAAAGACACGTCTCAACTCTGCCCTCATCTGGCGAATGCTCCTAATAAACTCGAGTTAGGTTTGACTTAACATAATTAAAGCTAAAATTAAAGCACCAAAGCACTGTGCTATTAAAAATTGAATTAATAGCTCACTAAACCAGCACTTACCCCACATGTTCACAAGCTGTTTGTCCACGCTGCTAGAAAACCATGCTCTTTTATTCGTGAACATTTTTTTTGGTGTCGAATATCTGCAACCAAAATTCATTAAAAAAACACATCACTTTAACATTACAGAATATATTTTATTTCACCAAGAATGTATAAATATGCCGTAATATGTTTATGAATTAACTTGTACTGTATTGATGTTGTGCTTTATCACGTAACGCCTTCAGTGCAAATGCCGAGCACAGATTCTCTGATTGGCAGCTGTCCATTTGGGACACAAGGTGGTCCAAAACCTGAATAATTCGTGCTAATTTAAACCCAAATTTATATTACATTTTTTTTGTCATGGGGGGAAAACCAGAACCCAGAGAAAGCCTATCCAGAGCAGCGAGAGAGCAAGCTTGACACAAAAAGGTCCCCGAGTCATGAATCTAAACAAGACCCTTCTTGCTGTGAGGTGCAAGTGTGACCAGTCACCCTGCCGCCCATTAATACGTTTCAGATGTTAGGAAATTTCAGAACGTAAGTTGACATGTATTAGCCAGGTATAGATCAAAATATACCATCAGTTTGCTCTCGGCTCTGTGACATCACAGCTTTCTCGCTGCTGTGACATTATAGTGTACTTTGTTCGCTTTGACATCATATCAGAGACGGTAATTATTCTTCAAAATCTATAATACAGTTCCAGAGATAATTATTCAACAATGAAATGCATTCTATGTAAGCATGAATTATCTGCCATAAAATAAGCTTCAGCTCAATGAGCTTCTATCCTGGACATGTCAAACTGGATCCAGTGATGGTGTCACCTAAAAAAGACGCACTAAGATACCCTAGTATGATTGTATGTGGGATGAGGTGAAATGAATGCAATCTGTCCTTCGTAAATGTCTCTCCACATACAAAATGAAAGTATTTCTGACACAATCCGTGAGCCGCACGGCATTCTGGGTGTGTAGAATTTCAGCAGCATTGATTCAAGACAGGCAAACTCTGAACCGTGTTCAAGGGTTTCATGCCCATCAGTAGATAATTTCAAATTAGTTAAGATTGAAGCTCAAATATGAGATTTAATGAGTCAGTTTGACTCTACTCATGAGACCCATAAGGTCGAAGACCAGTTCAGTTCGCTTGCTTAATTCTATATTTCTTGAAAACATTGGCCTGGAAGGGCAATAAATAGGCTGATGGGACTAAATATATTCTTTGTGTGGAGATATCAGAATGCACTGCAGACGCTCACGAGAGCCAAAGGCACATTTTACATTCTTATGAATGAATGTAAACACACGACTTTTAGCAATAACTGCCGTGCGCTTATTACAAAACATTTGCATTTCGCGCCTGAACATATTGCTCGCCGCGTACGCAAGAATAATATTACAAAGGTAAATGTTACATCACTACACACGCACAAGAAGTCCTCGACTGACATTAAAGGCGTGGCACAAAAAAAACTAACAGCAGTCCGTTATTGTCTTATTTTATTCAGTTTGAAGCTTCGTTGGAGTTAATCATTTAACGTCCCTTAAGAGCGTTGTGGCGCTGTGTTCTTGCTAAAAGTCGCGTGTTTACATTTTTAAAAACAAGGGTTTTATTAACAAATTCGTTAAACTCAGGGTCGAGATGTCCGTCATTGGCGCTTGAGACACGTGGCGCCTGCGTTTCGTGCGAGCGAATGCCACAGTTTAGCAGAGGCGTAGCTAGGATATTTTGCGCCCGGGGACGAACTATTAAATTGGCGCCCCCCCCCCGCCCGTTAAATCACATTTTCCTATTACATCGAATAAGGAATAACAATTTTAATGAAACATTGTATTTAAAGAAGCAAATTTATAGAAATTAAATTACATGGCTCACTCAGTCACTGTCGTAGACTGGTTGACATAGTATACAAAAGATTAATTTTTCTTGATTTTACTGTCGCAAACTGGTCAATCACGTAATCAAAATCAGTTTTTTTCCAATGTTTCTCTTTCAACGCTAAGAAGAGCAAGAGCGCTGAGACGATCTTGTCCCATTGAAGCACGCAAATACGACAAAATAAGTTTCAATTTGCTGAACGATCGCTCACAGCTTGCAATTGAAACTGCTATCTTACCTATAAACGTCACTTTTTGTCTGTCTGTCCGTCTGTCTGTCTGTCTGTCCGTCTGCGTACGCTCGCTTTGGAGGGATTTGGCGCTCGGGCCGTGGGGTTTAGGAAGAAATATTTTTGCAGGTGGGCACGGCCCCGGCCCCGCGGTGAACGTAGGCATTTCCGATTTTTCGTCCGTCGCCTTTAAATCGGTCTAATGATAGATTTCGTGCGATTTCTCTTTATATAGTTATTTACTCTTTATTTATTTACTATTGCCGACCGGCGCTGACCACGGCGGTTGCCCCTGGCAACGGGTAGCGACGCCTTCGCTGCGGGGTGGACACCATTTTAAATTCCCGTTAAAAATATGCACACGCATTAACACGCGACGCTGAGGTAAATACATAAAAGTTTCACTTCCCCCCCACTCCAATGTGTGCACTTACTATTATAGGGTCGGTAGATAATAAAATTATAGCGATTATACAGTATTTTTGTAGCGCGGGGGGGGGGGGGGGGTAGCGGCCCAGCCCCTAGCCTCAGCCGGGTGGGCTATCTAGGCGAGGCCGGAGGCTCTGCACGCTACTAGGCCTCCACACCCCACACGTGTCAGGAGAAGACTTTTTGTGCTATAAACTCGATATACCCAGCGTTGCCTGGGGGGAAAACACATTTTAAATCTTCTGAAAACTTTAAAACATTACATACCAATGAAAATACAACTGTGTAATTACTTTTAAACCCGACGCGCCAAGAATCGATTTTCTGAATCGCGCAGAGGAATCGATGGTTGTAGATTCATTTAGAATCGCCCTGTTCCCCTTTAAAATAAGTTGATTATAGAGTCGATATAAACTACTACGAAAGGGAAATATCCGGCGTTGACCGGGGCAAAAAAATTATTAAAAACTCCTGAACACTTTCAAACATAACATACCAATGGAAATAAAACTCTGTAATTGAACATGTAGCCCAAGCGCGAAAATAAGCGATTCTTTGCTATCGTTGCGAAGGAATCAAGGGTTTTAGATTACTTTAAAATCGCCCTATTCCCTTTTTAACAAACTGCGTGTCGCAGACACACACATTCACACATTTTGCTTTTACATTTAACATACAAAACGTCAGCATGTACTGCTGTCATCATAGACACAAATATATACACCCTCACCACTCTCCCTCACTCACCCTTTGTGATGATGGTGAGTGGTGAGGGTGAGTGGTGAGAGAGTGGTGAGGGAGAGTGTTGAGGGTGAATGGTGAGGGTGAGGGTGAGTGGTGAGGTTGAGTGGTGAGGTTAAGTGGTGCGGGTGAGTGGGGAGGGTGAGTGCTGAGGGTGTGGTGAGAGTGAGTGGTGAGGGTCAGTGGTTAGGATTTGTGATGATGGTGAGTGGTGAGGGTGAGTGTTCATGTTGAGGGTGAGTGGTGAGGGTGTGTGGTGAATAGTAAGGGTGAGTGGTGAGGTTGAGTGGTGAGGGTTAGTGGAGAGTGGTGAGTGGTGATTGGTCAGTGGTGATTGGTCAGGATGAATGGTGAGTAGTGAGGGTGAGGTTGAGTGGGGAGGTTGAGTGGTGAGGGTGAGTGGTGGTTGTGACGGTGAGTGGTGAGGGTGAGTGGTGAGGGTGAGTGGTGAGGCTGAATGGTGAGGGTGAATGGTGAGAGTGAGTGGTGAGGGAGCGTGGTGAGGGTGAGTGGTGATGGTGAGGGGTGAGTGGTGAGGGTGAGTGATGACGAAGAGTGGTGAGGTTGAGTGGTCAGTAGTAAGGGTGAGTGGTGATGGTGAGGGTTAGTGGTGAGGGTGAGTGGTGACTGGTCAGTGGTGAGGGGTCAGGGTTAGTGGTGTGGGTGAGTTGTGATGGTGAGGGGTGAGTGGTGAGGGTGAGTGGTGAGTGGTGACGGTGAGTGGTGAGGGAGAGTGGTGAGGGAGAGGGGTGAGGGTGAGTTTTGAGGGTGAATGGTGAGGGTGAGTGGTGAGGGTGAGTGGTGAGGTTGAGTGGTGAGGTTAAGTGGTGAGGGTAAGTGGGTAGGGTGAGTGCTAAGGGTGTGGTGAGAGTGAGTGGTGAGGGTGAGTCGTGAGGGTGAGTGGTGGGTGGTGAGGGTGAGTGGTGAGGTTGAGTGGTGAGTAGGAAGGGTGAGTGGTGAGTGGGGAGGGTGAGTGGTCAGTGGTGAGGGTTAGTGATGAGGTTGAGTGGTGAGTAGGAAGGGTGAGTGGGGAGGGTGAGTGGTCAGTGGTGAGGGGTCAGGCTTAGTGGTGAGGGTGAGTTGTGAGGGTGAGTGGTGAGGGTTAGTGGTGAGGGGTGATTGGTGGTGGTGAGGATGAGTGGTGAGGGTGAGTGGTGAGCGTGAGTGGTGAGGGTGAGTGGTGATGGTGAGTAGTGAGGGTCAGTAGTGAGGGTGAGTGGTGAGGGTGAGTGGTGAGGATGAGTGGTGAGGGTGAGTGGTGAGGGTGTGTGGTGAATAGTAAGGGTGAGTGGTGAGAGTGAGTGGTGAGGGTAAGGGTGAGTGGTGATTGGTCAGTGGTGATTGGTCAGGATGAATGGTGAGTAGTGAGGGTGAGGTTGAGTGGTGAGGTTGAGTGGTGAGGGTGAGGGGTGGTTGTGACGGTCAATGGTGAGTGGTGAGGGTGAGTGGTGAGGGTGAGTGGTGAGGGTGAGTGGTGAGGCTGAATGGTGAGGGTGAATGGTGAGAGTGAGTGGTGAGTGGTGAGGGAGAGTGGTGAGGGTGAGTGGTGACTGGTCAGTGGTGAGGGGTCAGGGTTAGTGGTGTGGGTGAGTTGTGATGGTGAGGGGTGAGTGGTGAGGGTGAGTGGTGACGGTGAGTGGTGAGGGAGAGTGGTGAGGGAGAGGGGTGAGGGTGAGTTTTGAGGGTGAATGGTGAGGGTGAGTGGTGAGGGTGAGTGGTGAGGTTGAGTGGTGAGGTTAAGTGGTGAGGGTAAGTGGGTAGGGTGAGTGCTAAGGGTGTGGTGAGAGTGAGTGGTGAGGGTGAGTCGTGAGGGTGAGTGGTGGGTGGTGAGGGTGAGTGGTGAGGTTGAGTGGTGAGTAGGAAGGGTGAGTGGTGAGTGGGGAGGGTGAGTGGTCAGTGGTGAGGGTTAGTGGTGAGGTTGAGTGGTGAGTAGGAAGGGTGAGTGGGGAGGGTGAGTGGTCAGTGGTGAGGGGTCAGGCTTAGTGGTGAGGGTGAGTTGTGAGGGTGAGTGGTGAGGGTTAGTGGTGAGGGGTGATTGGTGGTGGTGAGGATGAGTGGTGAGGGTGAGTGGTGAGCGTGAGTGGTGAGGGTGAGTGGTGATGGTGAGTAGTGAGGGTCAGTAGTGAGGGTGAGTGGTGAGGATGAGTGGTGAGGGTGAGTGGTGAGGGTGTGTGGTGAATAGTAAGGGTGAGTGGTGAGAGTGAGTGGTGAGGGTAAGGGCGAGTGGTGAGTGGTCAGTGGTGAGGTTGAGTGGTGAGTAGGAAGGGTGAGTGGTGAGGGTGAGTGATGGGTGGTGAGGGTGAGTGGTGAGGTTGAGTGGTGAGGGTTAGTGGAGAGTGGTGAGTGGTGATTGGTCAGTGGTGATTGGTCAGGATGAATGGTGAGTAGTGAGGGTGAGGTTGAGTGGTGAGGTTGAGTGGTGAGGGTGAGTGGTGGTTGTGACGGTCAATGGTGAGTGGTGAGGGTGAGTGGTGAGGGTGAGTGGTGAGGGTGAGTGGTGAGGCTGAATGGTGAGGGTGAATGGTGAGAGTGAGTGGTGAGTGGTGAGGGAGAGTGGTGAGGGTGAGTGGTGACTGGTCAGTGGTGAGGGGTCAGGGTTAGTGGTGTGGGTGAGTTGTGATAGTGAGGGGTGAGTGGTGAGGGTGAGTGGTGAGTGGTGACGGTGAGTGGTGAGGGAGAGTGGTGAGGGAGAGGGGTGAGGGTGAGTTTTGAGGGTGAATGGTGAGGGTGAGTGGTGAGGGTGAGTGGTGAGGTTGAGTGGTGAGGTTAAGTGGTGAGGGTAAGTGGGTAGGGTGAGTGCTAAGGGTGTGGTGAGAGTGAGTGGTGAGGGTGAGTCGTGAGGATGAGTGGTTAGGATTTGAGATGATGGTGAGTGGTGAGGGCGAGTGTTGATGTTGAGGGTGAGTGGTGAGGGTGTGTGGTGAATAGTAAGGGTGAGTGGTGAGAGTGAGTGGTGAGGGTAAGGGTGAGTGGTGAGTGGTCAGTGGTGACGTTGAGTGGTGAGTAGGAAGGGTGAGTGGTGAGGGTGAGTGGTGGGTGGTGAGGGTGAGTGGTGAGGGTGAGTGGTGAGTGGGGAGGGTGAGTGGTCAGTGGTGAGGGTTAGTGGTGAGGTTGAGTGGTGAGTAGGAAGGGTGAGTGGGGAGGGTGAGTGGTCAGTGGTGAGGGGTCAGGCTTAGTGGTGAGGGTGAGTGGTGGGTGGTGAGGGTGAGTGGTGAGGTTGAGTGGTGAGTAGGAAGGGTGAGTGGTGAGTGGGGAGGGTGAGTGGTTAGGATTTGTGATGATGGTGAGTGGTGAGGGCGAGTGTTGATGTTGAGGGTGAGTGGTGAGGGTGTGTGGTGAATAGTAAGGGTGAGTGGTGAGAGTGAGTGGTGAGGGTAAGGGTGAGTGGTGAGTGGTCAGTGGTGACGTTGAGTGGTGAGTAGGAAGGGTGAGTGGTGAGGGTGAGTGGTGGGTGGTGAGGGTGAGTGGTGAGGTTGAGTGGTGAGTAGGAAGGGTGAGTGGTGAGTGGGGAGGGTGAGTGGTCAGGGGTGAGGGTTAGTGGTGAGGTTGAGTGGTGAGTAGGAAGGGTGAGTGGGGAGGGTGAGTGGTCAGTGGTGAGGGGTCAGGCTTAGTGGTGAGGGTGAGTGGTGAGGGTGAGTGGTGATGGGTGAGTGGTGACGAAGAGTGGTGACGTTGAGTGGTGAGTAGTAAGGGTGAGTCGTGAGGGTGAGGGTTAGTGGTGAGGGTGAGTGGTTAGGGGTGAGTGGTGGGGATGAGTGGTGAGGGTGAGTGGTGAGGGGCAGTGGTGAAGGTGAGTAGTGAAGGTGAGTAGTAAGTAGTGAGGATGAGTGGTGAGGGTGATTAGTGAGTAGTGAGGGTGATTAGTGTGTAGTGAGGGTGAGTGGAGAGGGAGAGAGTGAGTGGTGAGCGTGAGTGGTGAGGGTGAGTGGTAACCGTGAGTAGCGAGGCAGAGGGTGAGTGGTCAGGGTGATTGGTGAGTCGTGAGGCTGAATGGTCAGGGTGAATGGTGAGAGTGGTGAGTGGTGAGGGAGATTGGTGAGGGAGATTGGTGAGTGGTGAGTTGTGATGGTGAATGGTGAGGGTGAGTAGTGAGTGGGAGTGGTGACGATGAGTGGTGAGGGTGAGTTGTGAGTGGTGAAAGGTATTGTCAAAGCCCGGTGGGCTTTGACAATACCTTAGTATCTGTGTATATATGCAAGGTTAGTAAGAAATATATTTTTCACCCGGGCAACGCCGGGTACTTCTGCTAGTTGTTAATAAAATTGCAGTGAAATTCGCAATTTCGGAAATATGTCGTCTCCATAAAACACAATAAAACCAAGAAGATCCAAAGGAGTTCATGGTAGAACTTCATTCCGGTTACTGAGCAGCATTTGGCAATCTCCAAATTCTGTGAAAAGTTCGTGAGCATCTTGTTTTGGCGTTTTCTACAGCAACTTGGCTCAAATCATCACGAAGCTGGACAAATTAATGCTCCAAAGATTCAAGATCAGTTGCTGATTCCTTGAAATTCATAGTAGGATCCTGTAAGCGCTTCTGAACACGATAAATTTTTCCAAGAATGACATTCCAGAAATGTAATAAAACTATTAAGTTAAAATTTAATACGCATGCCTGTAACTGTTCTGCATCACTTCTGGTTTCAGGCGTCATAGTTACGTCCTCCGATAATTTGTCTAGCAGCCCTACTAGTTCATCCAGTCCTTCATAGATAGCTTTAACAGCTTCTGATCGTGCACTCCAGCGTGTTTCAGACTCCCGCTTTACTGTGATGGGCACAGCTTTTTTTTAACTCTTCCCAACGAATTGTTGATCGACAGAAAAATATATATCTTCAACTGTTCCAAAAAATGTGAAGACAAGTGGATCCTGTTTAGCTGAGTGTACTCCTGCTAAGTTTAAGCTGTGGTTGTCACAGTTGACAAACAATGCTCTGTGATTTTTGTCACATATTCGTTGTTGAAGGCCGGATATATGCCCAGTCATCACAGCAGCATTGTCATAACATTGTGCCCGACAGTCGGCTAGAGGTATGTTGTCAGATTTCAGTCTCTCGACGATGACTCTTTCTAGACTTGCTGCATCTTTTGCATGTATCTCGATATAACCTAAAAATGATTCTTTGATAGTTACTTTTTTAGTTTGAAAATCCACATCCACAAATCTTATGACCTGAGAAAATGTAATTACATGCAATGTAGGCTGTGTGTGGCGGGATATATAAACGTTTAGGTTGAGGTGTAGATTTGCGCAGTAGTTTCAGGCTGCCGCGCCCGCCGCAATAAGTAATAATGTCACGTTGTAAGCCTAATTTTGGCGCCCCTTTACCTTGGCGCCCGGGGACACGTGTACCCCCCTGCACCCCCCTAGCTACGCCTCTGCAGTTTAGGGACTGCGGCGTTTTTGACCGACAAAATGTAAATTGCTTTAAAGTAGCTAATTAATTGATTAATCGATCGTCTTGGTTTTTTCGGTAAAGTCACGTAGAAATAATACAATTATTGATACAGGCATGCATTGTCACCGGATCTGAGTACGTGTAAAAAATGTGGAATTGAGTGGACAACGGGAAGTGGACGAAATAGATTTGACCACGACAAACAGAGGAATAAAGTTAAGTAAAACCGTTGAAGAAAAAAGTACGAGCTCATTTTTTGGGTTTCGTGTTTACCAATTAGCTTACGATGATTAAGTCACATTCCATAGCTGCCAACCCCTTATAGCAGTGCCACACCTTATTACAGACCAACTCCAACCTTCTTGGCCACCTCAGTGCCCTCATAAATCTCAACGTTCATCCGACAAAGTCCCATCACAAGGGAGAAACACAAATAGACGAAACATTTTAACTTGAAACGGCTGTACGCCGTATGGACCTGAAATCTCTCCCTGTACAACATTACAGGTCAAACGTATGGGTCGACAAGGCTTGAGATTGCAAGGCAAAGTACTCCTTTAATTAATGTTAAATATGCCTTGCTCACCGCCACTGCTTGCGAGAGGAATTCCAACAAGGGGGGAAAGCTTGTCGAGGGGGTAATTGGCCTACTCTTCCGCGTGAGTTGTAACGGTTTAAAAACAAACACAATTTTTTACCTCACTCACGCTTGACGGGAAGTATTCGATGCCACGCTTCGATTTGCAACTTACACTATGAACGCCTCTGAATTAAATCGCGTTTGTATAAGTATAATAAACTTGTATAATAAACTTACGTCTCACTATCGGTCAGCACTCAGCACTGACCCCTCGGGGTGGTGGGGGAGGGGGGTAGGGGGAGGGGGGGTGGGACTCTCACGAACGCGGCCGAAAGATTAACAAACACGAAAACATTTTTAATTTTACAAAACACACAATTTACCGCGTTCTTTTGCAATCGGAGCAATTAATAACCCGCGACTGTAATTTTACGAGTCGTGTTTAAAAAAAAAGAATTTGTCCCACGACTTCGGTTGGATCGCGGTTGCCGGGGCAACGCGGTCCCGCTCGGCCATGATCGAGGCCCCGGCGCGGGGGATGACTGTAGGAGGGGGGCGCCGCGACGGCAGCAACATTTGTTGTGTGTACAATTCAAACCCAATTGATGTAATTAATAGAGGACAATAGCGGTCACAAACGAGTAAACAAACATGGTGATGTGCTTCGTACCAAACTGCAGGCATTACAGCGAGAGGGACTCGTGCAAGTTCTTTCATTTCCCCAAGACGCGCCACGAGTTCGACAAATGGAAGAAGCTCATCAGGTGAGGAGGGCTTCAGGCTCTGCGCGGCCGCCGGCGAACACAAAGCAAATATAATAACGCATTCACGGGCAATTCGTAGGCGCAACGCGCAAAACCGTGTGGGTTTAGTCGCGTGTGTGCTGTCGTTTATTGTTCGGGGTTTTTTGTTTGTTGTTTGCGAGTTGCATTCATCGGAGAAGAAGCCCGGGGCCTTGGCGCCTGCCTGGGCCTCAGTCAAGGGCTGGTGCTCTGCCGTGTAACCGATGCCTGTGCACATGTAACGCGTTAATGCCCAACACTTTTGCACGCTCTACGCGTCGCTGTTCGCCGACTTTGCGCATCTTGTGGTGAAGTTTGCAGTGTTAAGGCGAGATGTGTGCTCGTCGTCGGTTCGAGGCGCTTTGTTGGGGCGGAGGTGATTTGCCTGCACTCGGGCGAACAAAGCCATGCCCCGCTGTAATTGTGAATTCATTAACCGACATCCAGACGAGGGTTCTGTGTGGCACGGCAACACAATGCAGTAATGTTTATGTCCATCAAGCTACACATTTTCTTCTTCTGGACCAGACCTGGTGGAGTCAATTACTGCTATACAGTCACTGTGTTATTTGTAATGATTTGCAATTGCAGTTTAATTGTACTTGAAGCTAACAATGCTTCAGTAGATATGGTTTACCCCAGGTCGGTTCTGGAATAATGCTTTCAAGCAGAATTTGTACAAGGAAAACATCTTTGCTGGTTTCAGTTCTTGAGTGATCAGCAGGATGTGGAGTCTGAAATACTGTCGGGTTGCCTTCTATTCTAGGCAATAACTCTCCACGCACATCAACTAACCCTACTCATTGGAACCAAAGCACATTTGACAGTGTGTATTAGTGTATGTACCCTTATAAGACCAGGATTCGATTATAATTTCAAACACGGCAGCATTGCATTTAGCCAACATAAAATATTGCTTGCAAAATATAAAATGTATATCAATTGTAATCTAACGGCGGCCCTGAGTATTACTGCAGATGTAATAACCGAATACGCGCTGTCTGCTTCCCTTAACGTTATTAGAAAAAGTAGGTCATGATGTGGCGGTGTCACGTTGTAAATTTGCCATATTCTAAAATTAGCCGCATATTACTCGACTTTAATGATTCATAGCAATCATCGACCCTTACTGGCAGACGAATGCCCCAGGTCACTCGCAAATGAGACAAACCAGGTCTCTTAACTTACCTGGTTAAACTAAATAAATTTATCTTCTTGGTTCTTTCGGTAAAGTCACGTAGAAGGGAAGTAATAAAATAATAAAAATAAAACATAATAACTTTATTATTTTACTTCCCTTCTACGTGACTTTACCGAAAGAACCAAGAAGATGAATCCCTGCAGTCACGAAAGCTTTAAATCGATACCTAAATTTAACTTGCCACTGACCCCGTGTCTGGCTCTAGTGGTGGATTATGGGTAAAACTACGAATTCGCCTGTTAAACCACTACAAAATACAATGGTGTTTACGTCCACCGTTACTTGATTTTTTTTAATAGAAGCATATTGCACGTGTTGCAAGTTCTTTTTCACGATTGTTTGGCAGTCCGTTTGGTCGGCTACGGTACACTGAACCTTAATAGGTTAGTTCTATTTGTTAAATGTTATGATACATTGCCTCTTAAGTCAATGGCGTGTCGAACGCCTCTGCGTCTGACAGATTTTTTAGGAGTGAAGACTGTCCCCGCAGATGTGATATTGTACAAACATTTGTTGTATATTCACGCATACACCAATCGATTAAATAGCACGCAGTGTGCCAAGTTGTCACCTTCATGATGCCTAGGGTTTAGTGTTTTGATTCTCATGGTAAAATTCAATATCCGAAACCAAAAAGGCCAGTCTCAATCGCGGTCTAGCCATGGGAAACCACAAAGTAGTTGAAAAACACAATACGGTCTAGGTGGCCGGATGACTGAGTAAGGGCTGAATGATCACTGTTGATATTATAGGTTTGATTAATTCTCAGGCAGATTACCGTGACCAAACCAGGTTCTCAAGTGTAATGAGTTGATGGTTTCAGCCCATTCACCAATGACTATTTAGATAAAAACTGTCATGTAAAAAAACATTTTCCCAATTAATTTGGATACATTCCAGCCTTTCAAAGTGACTTAGGAAAGTGATATCCGTGATGTCTTCTTCCAAGGTCATTTTCTGACAGGGAAGTGCACTCCTTACTACAGAGTTCAGAATGGAAATGTCTTCAGTTAATGAATGCATTCCTGTATTTATTCTTGGGTCCAGATATTAATGGCCACTGGTTGCAAAATGCACAATGCAATCTATATTGCACGGTGTTTCTCCTTAATAACATTCTTACGATCGAGTACGTGGATTGCAGTTTTATACAGATTTTGTTCACTTTTGTTAGGTCACTTAAATGTTAATTGACTTGTATGCATGTAAATATATACATTCTAAACGTCTGGTTGTCAGCAACACTGTTAAAGTAACACTTGCTTCGATTGTTACTGAGTCGCATAAACATTGCATAATCATCTCACGTGAAATATATATTTAGCTTATTGAGAAAAAAAGAATTCCTTAATATTTTGCTGAAGTTATTCACTTTATGTTCCCATTTTTTTGGTTTCATATAATACACGTCAAAAATAAGTAGTATCTTTTGACTATGCATTTAAGACAGGTTACTCAAATCTGCATTTAAAACTAGGTTTTTGTCAAACTCACGTGAGTTGAAATAATGTGCACCACTGATGAGTTTTGGAGCAAGGCTAAGGTAGATACAAAAAAATTGTATGGATAATTGGAAGAAGACCTTGTATTAAAAGACGTGAATGGTAATCTTCCATATCATTGTAAAGGGTTTCACGTGCTTCTTTGATTATTTTTCTATCTACGTGACTTTACCGAAAGAACCAAAGAATATAATGATCCAGTTTCAGTGTTTGCAATAGAATTGTGTACACGTGATTTGTAAGCCACTAATCACTCAACATGTGTTTTATGGTGTGCATTGTAGTCGTGCTGACAGAGAGCCGAGCCAACACTCAATGGTTTGTAGCTGCCACTTCCCAGATGGAAAAAGAGAACATGGCCCAGCTGTCATTTTACGCAGCCCCAACACACGACTGCTGCCGGCAAGTGATCGGCGTCTCATCAGGGGCATCGATCCAAATGAGTAAGCCTGTGCTTGATATATCTAACCAATATACCCATCTACTCGTGCGAAGGATACTATGCTGGTCTCCTGAGTTCTCACCTGGTTAAAACAAAGTTGAATTGAATATTGCAAAACTGATGAGCCGTGAAAACTGTTTATCTTACACATTTTTATTTTTGTTTCCTTAGGATTTGTACTGAAAATTCGTGCAAAATACAATGTTTAGTTCCGGCAATTTTTCCTTTTCATATTAGTGTGTCCTTCCTGGTAAAGGTTTATCTTGAAGATTAATGTGGTCCCTTAACATGTTTTACACGATGTAAATTCACACCAAGTTTTCTCTGCTTTTCCTCGACAGTCCAAATGTGAAGAAGTTCCGTGGAAAGCCACAGTTGGCTCGATACCTGGGGACCGGTGCAGATATTAGTAGTTTCGATTACAGGACTGGAAAACTGATCCCGGGCAAGTTACAGAAAAACAAGATTCGCCTTCGCAATGACCAAATTGGCCAAGGAAAGGTAAGAGTTCTTGAAAAATACAAAAAACATTCTTTGTTTAATGTTCACTAAGTTTGACATGTGCATTTCAGTTCCTTAAATAATGCCCATCATTTTATGTCTTTTTGAAGGGAAAACCGGATCTGAATACATCCCTGCCCATCAGACAAACAGCCTCTATCTTTAAGCAACCTGTCACCAAAGTTGTAAATCACTCGTCTAGCAAAGTGAAGGCAGATCCACACAGAGCCATTGACCAGCCAAAACAGGTGAGTCAAGTGCACATTTGTCACGATAAATACATATGATTAGCTGGGCAGTGGTGATGCACGCCTGGAATCGATCCTTGTTGAGACGAGGGTTGGTACATTTCAGAAATGTTGTAAAATCCTGGCATACCAGATGAAGTCGGTACAGAAAATTTGGAATCAATCTGTTCCAACTGTATGGAATAGAGTTGGCCCCTGGCATGCACGGGGTTATCTCCTAGTGCTTCAGTTCTTTCTGCTTTAGTAATATTAGTTCTGGTCTAAATTAACTTGAGATGATCAATTTCTAATGTATGTATTACTGGATTTAACTCAAATAGAAATTTTATAGTTTATACTTTTGATAGATGTTGATTTTATAATGTATAATAGTGACTATTTTACTTAATCAGTTTAGATTCACAGATGACTAATAAGCCCATTGAGACATGATGCATTGCCTCTTACAATGAAATCTCAGTCATGTCATGTCATTGGAATACAACAAAATATTAAACCTAACTTAAACTATAACATGTACAAATGTATTAATATATGCAACTAATATGTGTGACATAAACTATAAGTAATGTGAATTATAGACACCCTCGTGTATGAGACAA